TCGAAGCTCAACCGAAAAAGATATAAACCTGAGAATCGGTTGAAAGTAAATAAAGTCACTCGTTGGGCAGAGGCTTTTGTACGGGTGGATAGCTGAGATAACAATTATTGGTCTTTTATGGTACGGCCTCCAATCGGCCAATAAACTCAAGACTAGTGAATAAACCCAATTCTCCCGATAGGCTTGTTTACTCAGAATCAAGAAATAAAAATTCAATATTTATCTTTCTCATTTTATTCACAAAGACGTATCATTGAAGACATAAACTTTATAACTTACCATATAATTAAATAAAGGATCAAAGTGCTCATGATCTTTAGAAAATTTTCGATCTTGTTTAATCCAATTTTCTTTTTTCGCTTCTAATGAAAACAAGAACAAGTCAAGCCGAAAATCGCCAAAGCAAAAGAAGACATCAAAGCAATAAATTTTGTACGATATAAGATTTAAACATTCTGAAAATCATAATTTAATGTTAGCTCAATTTTGTAAGACGACATTATTATATACTTTTATTCATGTCTTTTTACAAAATTAGATAATTTTTCACAAATTACAACTTCAATTTGTCATTAAAATGTAATAAAATATAAGTTAGTAGGTATTAGTTTGCGTTCCCGGATTTTCTACACACGTATATAATCACTTTTATATTTTAGTCATTCTACCAAAACAGACTTATATCTAATGTACTTGTATCTTTTTGAAAATTAAAAATAAAAAATACGATTCTCAATGAATATCTAGAAAGGGGAAAGTGTATTCCGAAATTAAAACAGAGGAGGCGTATTATGTAACATAACTTTATAAAGTGTAGAACGTTGGGCAACTCGTTAATAACATTTCAATGAAAACACAAATTATTTTAAAAATTCGCCGGAAAGCACCTAACATTTTATTCAACATTCGCCTCGCAGTCGAACGAATGCCGATGCTCACTGCAGGATCTTTCCAACTTAAGAGGATTACAGATATAATAAAAAGTATGGAATCCGTTTATTCTATATTTCTTTTTCAAGCAATACATTGAATCAGTATAAATTATACGTCTATTGTAATTGTGAAATTCTTGTTAACTAGTATTTAAATAAATATATATTTTAGAAATCCCTAGAATAAATAATTAGTTTTCATTTAAGTAAGTGCTTGGCCCATGTTAAATATTTTAATTTGATAAAATCCACTTTAAGCTCACGAAGTTATTTAATACTTTTGGACACATATAAAAATAAAGTTAGCCGCTTCTAGTAGTAGAATTTTATCTTTAGCTCAAGAGATTTTCATATTCAATTATAAATAGACAAGTGCGTCTCAAGAGTGCCTTTGACATCACGGCTTAAACGAATATTAGGTATACTAGAAGCAGGGGACAAATTAGCAAGATGTAATTAATAAATGTCAGAAAATTAAAATTTAAAAAGCTAGTTCAGAGTTTAATTTAAAGACAAGAAAATATTTGCAAAGCCTTTTTTAAGTATTTTTTTTTTACATTTTATAGTCATCGCATTACGAATACTGCAGAACATATTAAAGGGATTACTTTCCTTTTGAAACAAAATTCATGGATTATAAAGAGTACATAATATAGATAATTAATATATTACTGCCAAAGCTAAAATGTTAGCTCCCGTCTTGCACCAGAGATCAAACGAAATGTATGTAAAGGGGAGCATCACACTAGCTATGTACATATATAAGGGAAGTATAAAAGCAATATGCAAGCGTTGTGCTCGCTATAGCAATGTTTTATATAATTAGCTAAAGCGCTTTAACTGGGGAGCGATTCAATTTGAATAGAATTTTTAAATAATCTTAATGAATGTTTAGATTGGATGTACAATTTTCATATCTTTGTATTTGAATTTAGATTGAGTATAGGGTTGCAAGTCTTTTTGAACAACCCATTCGGTGACATGTGTCCAAATAAAAGAACGCTATCCCCTTATATGGTACCTGTTTAATAACTCTTTGAAGATATTATAATACTTATTCATTAAATAAATATCAAAATATTACATCTATAGAAATAGGAATAATGACAAAGATAAAATAAATTATTATAGACAAACTTCGCGTTAAAATAATTGTTTAGGAAAACTAGTTAACCGAATAAATATTAACGATTTTACTTACCAATTTTGTTAAAATTCTCAAGCTTCCCAATTAATATAAACTTGTCAATTAAAAATTAAGGTCTTGGATAAGTGGAACGTTGTTGTCAAAAATATATACTTGGAAGTTAAACATTTTCAGTCGATCAAAATAGATCATGATTTATTATTTCCTGATTTTAATCAACATAGCTAGGAATAAATCAGAAATAATGAATCAAAAATCATATCTTCATAAACAAAAACTGAAATAATAAAACGGTACATGATTATGTTCACAAATTGTATAAAATTAGATTTGTCACAGTGGAAAAATTGCAACAAAAATGTGTCAACCGTCCCAGCTCAGAATATAACAATGACAACGTACACAATGCAGTCGTATTTTGAAACGGCTTTTAGAAAAAAGGATCCTGATTTCACATAATAATGGATTCGTCAAAAAATTCAACAGAATTGTACGGATCACTGCCTTCCCCTTTCGGTTTCGGGCAGAACCCTTTCTACAACTGTGATTTCTTAATTTAAATTCAGCTGTTCTTGTCTATCATTCATAATTTGACAGTTCGTTGACAGTTGACAGAAAAATAAGTGTACGTATTTAACATTATTATCTTAATCCACAATGGTCATCGAAAAATGAATAAAGGATTAAATCCAGGTAAATACAACTTATGATTTTGTCGGATGTTCACAACACTGAAGGAAGTATTAAGGAATAAAATGTTTTTTGTTAAAATTGGGCAGAGAACAAATTTCATTATTATCAAAGTAATTGCAAAACACAAACATTTTACTGTATTTGAAATAAGTGATTATAAAGAGTATATTTCCATCAATAATATTTAATTATATTAATGATTTATTTTAAGGTAAATTTCCATATCAAAATATTTCAGGCAGAATTTTAATATATTCGTTTTTAATATTATTATGAAAACTTAAGAATGCTGACACTTTTAGATATTTTTTTAAAACCTAATAATGAAATAGCAAACTACAAGGACACGTTATTGCTATAATATTGTAACAGGCGAAGTGTAAAAGAGGTTTATACTTTATTTACAAAAATACAGATTGTCTTTATTATATTCGATATTTAGAATAACAAAACTACTTACAGAAAATGTATGTATAGAAAAACATTTGCTAAATTACTATTATTTTAAACTTAAGCCTTTTCAAAATATAAGCTTATTTAAGAAGCCTAAGTTAGTTAGTTTGCTTGCGTTAAAACTCCAATTATTTAGTACTTATGGAATTTCAGACAGATATAGATTTTTAAGATAACAGGGTACTGTTAATATATTAAATGCAATTAGTCTTAATAAATATACTGCATTCGTATCTAGATACATATAAATAAAAACTATGACAAAGTTTTACTTGAAAATTCTAGTGGTATATACCTATGCGTTAAGCTTCAAATGAAACAAGGTTTAATGACTATGTAAAAAAAAAAATAAACGAAAAGGTCACCAGGACTATTGGGTTCGTTGTCAAAAGAAAATGAATTTATTGTATCAATTCTTAAAGATTTAGTAACGGTATGAAATCATAAAAAGCCATTGTTATAAAGATTAGCTGGAAGGGTTCATGGATATAATAAGAAACGGATTACTAAGAGGTTGAACAAACCTCGCTCATCAGACAGGGATAATAAGGGGATTTTGTTAGAAATCTCTTTAAGCCAACTCTAAAATGTTTAAAATTTAAACAAAAGAGAAAGTAGTTGAGCTGTATGTGCAACGATCCAGGCTTTGAAAATCTAAAGTTATTAAAGGCGACGTAATTAAGACCGGACTTACCAGCATTAGCGGCAAGCTCTAGCAGTTTTATAATGAAGTGCTAGAACGCCTTGATTTACTACATTATAAACTAATTAAAAGAAACTTATTATACGATATATAATTTTAAACGTTAAAGAGTTTTGAATGAAATAAAATAAAAAACAATTAAATACAGATCTTTTATTTTGTATATATGTATTAAATATTTCAATAATTTCAATGATTTCAATTCGTTTATTCAAAAGCTTATAATAATTATGAACTGTAATCGCTTATGATATTTTAACGTATCTCCGCCTGAGTCGATGTGTACAGATGGTAAATTTTAAGAGTAATTTACTTTGTATATTAATTCTGTTTTATGACTCGTAAAACACTGAACGAAATGGGAATTATGTCACGCAGCTAGCTGCAATTACTGTAAGTAGGAATTAGGCCAACCGAAATTATTGCTCCTCATTGTAATTTTGGCTTTATTCAAGCATATATTTTTATAAAACATGTTTTTTATTTCACAGTACTCTTTATTTCTTTACATTTTACTTTGAAAAGGTTGATTTAATAATTTTTATTTATAATTTACTCGTCTTCGTAATAACTTCATTAAATTTGGTTAAAAAATAAAACAACATATACCTTATAGGTATCAAGCTTCATCGTGACTTTTGTTCGTTTTTTTCAAGACTCCCAAAGATCTCAGTTTGTGTCTATCCAACAAATCCTCTGTCATTCGGTAAAAGTCCTATTAAAATCCCTTTATTCTTTACAACGTATACCTACTCTGGTTAAACAATGACAAATGGATTTTTTTAAACACAAATTGATTTCGTTATACTATCGTGTAAATAGCCTGAGGCATTGGAAGAAACATATTCTTTATATTCTAAACCGTTACGAGAATTTAATTTGAATGAATAGATTCTGCACAGTGCACACAAAAAAAGTTCACGATTAAATGTTCTCTTTACAAGGTTTTTTTATCATCATTTCTATGTCGTCTCCAATGGGATTATTTATAAATATGAAACTACAAACGTTTCAGTAGACGATGAAAACTTGTATTAAGTTTAATATTCCAAACAAATTTCTATGGGTATTGCTAGTATTCCTTGGGCATTTTCTTCTTAATATATTCGTTCTTACGTAAATCTTTTGGATTACTCTCCATACCATTCATCCGAACAGAGGATTGTCTTGAACTCCTCGCTTCAATAACTGGCGTTGGTAGTCGCGTTCGTAAGAATCCTTGTAAGGCTTGAAATAGAAAAGAGAGAAGTGACATTGACACTACAATATTTATAGGATCGAAACCGATTGAGTGATGGTGGTAGGTAGACATGCCATAGTTTGAACTTCCACTTGTTCCATATCCTGTACTCAAATAATGACTATTGTAATTTCTGGAGTTTGTTTTTCCTTGTACATTATATTTTGTAACTTCAACATTAGGTGATTTAACTTGATATTCGGCATCATCTAAATTTCTTTTTAAATTCTTTTTTGTGCCGATTTTTGTTTGTAGGTTTATATTTCGTATTCGTTTCAAAACTGACTGCGCGTTCGATTGTATTTGTTTCAAAAGCACTTGAATTTTAGAACTCTGTTCTTTTACAACGCTCGTCATATAATCTTTAACATAACGTGATGATAGGGCCACATTCGAAGTCTCTTTGTTTTGATATTCAGGTTTTACAAAACTTTTTAAGACCATAAATGTTAATAAAAAAATACACACTATCGACATTATTACTGTCGCCACTATTTTACTTGAGAAAACTTTTGAGTACATTAAATTTGCTTCAAGAAACGGAACTGAAATGAAAATGTCGCACACCTCTATATAAACACAAAGCATTCGTGGTTCGTTGGCAATAATAATAACGTATCTATGACTACTTGTTATACAATTATACTATTATTACCTTGACATTTGACCTAGCTGATCATCTCGGCTGTAAACCTTTCTCTTCATGTTATAAGACAAGTGAAAATTTGAGAAAGCTTCATTTTGCCTTACTTTTGGACTATTTAAAAATATACCTAGAATTTTCAATTCTGCGGAGGAAAGATAAAAGAGGTAGGTACGTTTGAACATCCAAAATTATCCAAAATGAAAATCTACACACTCGGTTTTAAAAACAGTGCGGTAAAATACTTAGTAATTTTTGAAAAATATTATGTAGAGAGAGAAGCTGGGACGATGAAGGTGATAGGGGCCCCTTATTCCTGGACCTGAGTCGCAAGTTCCAGGCACCGTTGAAGATCTTCCTGATTGACCTGAGACCTGAGAAATTGACCTAACACCCGCACAGAAAATCCATGGAATACTGTGAAGTTTCGTCTCTGTCTTTACCTACAATATAACTGAACAAAGAGATTTAGCCAACTTATGAAAAACATGGCAAGTATTAACTTTAAAATTTTATTTAAGAAAACCATTCAAAAATAAATTGGGTTCGTAAGCTATTTTTAGGTCTATTAAGTTATATGCCTTCAATTTAGAGACAAATTTTATTTTAAATTAGCAAATCCAATAAACGGTGTCCTGTTGTATGAAGAATATAATTGCGGTCAGGTTCATATGTCAAGGTTATAATTTGTTCTTTACGCCGCTCGTGGATTTTTATTATATAATTCTTGATAGCAGTTGATTGACTTTTTTACGTGAAAGGTGCCAAACGAGTAGGCTATTTGAGAAGGAGTCACCCTAGCCCATGGACATCTCCAATATGAATCATTACAGGCTTCACGACGATCTTCTGAGAGCAGATGGTACGTCCCAGGTCGATCAAGGCTATGATCACGCAGTACTAAATTGTCCACAGCTAGACTATAACATAAATAAATTGACTGATTTGTGATTATGGATAATTAAATAAAAATATTTCTTATTTCTATGGCAGTTTTAACTACCAGCTTTTCTTGTACGAAATGATATTTTCAAAATATTTTTTTATAAATTGATAAATAAAGCAATATTTCACTCGCGTTTAAATATTCATTCAGTTTTAAGGGCAAAAAAAGTTATATAAGAACTATTCCACAAAAATGATAACAGCTCCATCTGTGAGAGAATCGTTTCATTTCCTATTGTAAGCAACCTCAGCATGATCCTGCGCATGACAAGGTCTAACGAGTGGGTTACAGCACCATCTGTTGTGAATTATAGCAACAATTCACTAAGCATATTAGTTCTTAACAACGAACATAGATGTCGTTCTAAAAACTTAACATCGAGTTATTTTGATTATAAAACCATGCACCAAATACAAAAGCGACAAATAATCGTTAAAAAACTGCGCTAATAATGAAAATTGCTTACCTTGTTATTTTGACTAAGATACGGTTAAAATATTATATACTAATCTTTTTTTCGGAGACGAATATAAAAATATGGAATTTATAAAAAAAATATTAACTTATTCTATATTAAGGCAACCTAACGGAAGCTTTCCCACTAAAGATTTTTATTTTTTCTTTCCACGTTGAAATTCTTAAAAGGCTAACAATTAACAAGCATTGAACCCACTTAAAATTACGAAAACAAACATTCCTTTTTTATAGAGACAATCAATACCGTCCACTATTGGAATAAAATTTGTAAACCAAATATTTTGTTTTAATAAGGGAATCGCCGGAAATTCATGTTTTTATCGCTCTGAATGCTGAATAGGTGTTCTTTTGCGAATTTTGCACCCCCATGAGAAAACTATATATAGTAAGATGTAATAAATTTCGAAAAAAATATAAGCGGTAAATGATTGAGTTGGGAACAAAATGTAGGTTTTTTAAAACGTTAGATTTAATATTTTAGTTAATAGGCGTATGAAGATATTTCTAAGATAACAAACATTCCAAATAAATATATAAGTTCTAATAGATTTAATAGTAGCATCGTGAGAATAATTTCATTTATTGGAAACTAGCTGACCCGGCAGACTTCGTACTGCCTCAATCAAGAAATAAATTATGTCTTATTTATTTTTTTGGTGTTTACCTTTAAGCCATAAATCTCCGTGTTCTGAAGTGCGACAAAATGATTGACATATTAGTTAGTAGTCAAATCTAATGTCAAAAAACCGTTTGTATGGAAAATAAAAAAGCGCTGTTTTTAGGGTTTTCCCGGAAATTAATAAAAAAATTTCAGCTTTTAAACCTTCCCTGAACCTCCACGAACATTTCAAGACTATGATAAGATAAATCCGTTCAGTCGTTCTCGAGTTTTAGTGAGACCAAGGAACAGCAATTCATTTTTATAGATATAATTTTTCTTCTATAAACGTTCCACATTAACTTTTTTCACATAGAAGAATATTGACTAGACAGCCAAAACTCCAATAGCATATTTTATTGTATACTATGTAATTGATTTTGAACGTTTTAAACGGTTATTAAAACTATAATAACAATTATTGCCGTTATACTTTTTTGATTAAAATATTGGTAGGTTATGTAAGTTATATGTAAGTTAAAACACCAACTTAAATTTTTGAAAAAAAAGGAATTTAAAGATACGGTGGGATAAAATATATGAGCATAATTTACACTCTTGATTGTAAATTATGCTCATATATTTTAGAGATTGTGAAAGGTCAATTCAAGTTAAAAAATTGTCATATAGGAACACACCCATAATAAAAGAAAGGATCTAGGATCTGGTTAAAAATACTTATATATGTAGAAGGACCTTGTAACCATTATTAGTCCAGAATAACATAGTTTTCAGAATTCTCACTGTCGAGTACCTAACTTTTCTTTTAAAGATTGGTGAAATCAGGACACATGTTGGTAAAACTTAAAACAATTAGATACCTTAGAATATGAAGAAAATGTATTTTATAAGATAATTCACTATTGGATGCATAAAACGAAATAAGTAATATTTCCACAAAAGATGTCTTTATCTTTGAATGAAGAATATATTAAAAGTGTTATTAAAATATAAAAACGGATAGTAAATTTTATTTTCCTGTAGGTTTTTTGGATTTTACGGTAATAAATTTCTCTTATTCAGGTAAAATTTTAACGCTTGTAATATAAATAAAATAAAAAGATTTTAATCACTGCGGGTTTTAAGAAAAGTATTTACTTTAGTAAAGAAAAAACGTTTACATTTCAACCCTATTGATCCGCTTTATATCAGTACATTTGTTTGGGGTCCATGTCTCTATTGCGCCAAATAACAACATAGGTACTACTTTGAAGTATATCGAGTTGTTTTTGTTTCTTTTTCTCTTTTAATATCAAATATTTTTTGATATTTGTTCCAAAGAACTAGAGTATTGATTAAGAGACACGATGACAAATATATTATGTACAAAGATCAATCACGGAGACATAGTTCAGGTATTGGAATTAATGATTCAAAGATAAGATAGTAAGAAAGACTAAGACAGTAAGAAAGGCAAACATATTGTATACTTTGAAATACCTATTGCCAAATATATAATATGTTTCAAGCGTTTTTTAGGTTCGATATGAACTACAACTACTCGATTTCTTAGAATTTCCTGTATGTACATATGTTGTGTGAATTTTGTTTTCCAGAAATTATCTTTAGATAGCATTTATTTATTAATGACATGTGTGTTAACAAGAGGCCAAACATAAGAAAATAATTTCTATTCTTGATTTACCAGGAAACAAAGTACATAAATATATAAATAATAAAAGATTTTGACCGTGATTATATTTAGAATACAACAAAATTGTTGCATGTAATTAAACAGTGATAAACGAACTAATTATAACGACTCTTAGGGGTGTTTGAAGCCATTTGTTAAAACCTCGTCACCCGAACAGTCAAACCAAACAAGAATCTTTATCTTGATGCATAATTACCGATGCGGATACAAAGCGGGAAGTGGGAATTTGATACAAATAGCTTCTCCCAATATTAATTCCTCGTTTGTTAGAACAGTTACGAGACTATAATATGACATGGACTGCGTGGAGTAGATATTCGATGTTCATTATTTTTATATATATTTTTTTATGTTGAACATTTTATAATCAACTATTTCTAATATTTTAATTAATAGTACCTTTACAAAATAATAATTATACGAAATAATGTAATTATTATTATTATACTTTATGTATATTATTTTCGGAAAGTTAAAATCACATTATATTAACCGTTACTCAGATAACATAACAAAATAGGATTTTTTGTGCCTTCAATTTTTCTAAGTAATATTAATAAAATAACAGTTATTAATGGTGTTTACTATTAAACTTATTACACCTTAGGGTCTGTTAACAATGGAAAGAAAATGCTACATATAAATACCTAATTAATTTGACTTTTATCTGCTATGTTAATCAAGGGGCGTAGAATAGTAAAATCTATATTACCGAATTCTCACAGCGTGTATGTCACAACAAAGTGTATACAAAATTCAACCATATCAGAGTAACAAGATGGTTTATTTTTCATTGTAAGCGAAGATACTTTAAAACTTTTATAAATGTGAATCTACTCTAAGCAAACTAGAGTCTTATAACGACTTTAGATTTATTGGTACATACTAACCCAATTAATTGAGAATCAAGATGTAGACTTTTTTTGTCTTCAAAGCTAGTTCAATTTATTAAACTAGCAACACATTTTTTAAGGTGCGAGAAACAAACGTAGTTTAAAAAAAGACATAAATCGATTATATAGGAACTTGTTTTTTAATAACGAATCTCTCTTAAACTACTGTCTAAAAATATATTTCCACTTAAACTAACGTCACAATAAAATTTCTAAATTGACACTTTATTGAACTACTTTCATCAGATAAGTTGAACAATTTACGCTGGTCGTATTCAATTTGCCGGCAGCGTTGTTGAAAAATAATTAAAAATGCAATTAAAACAGGCAACATAAATCCCTCACAGCTCCGCCCAACACGTAAACATAAACTTACTAGGAATTATTTATATATTTTTACTCTAATTGTATTTTGCTGCTTCTAGATTTATTATTGTACATTTTTAAACTAAAATTCAATATATTTTCCTCGCACAAAATTTACAATATTATGTAACGAAAAGTTTTAATTGTGAGCCAGAATGTAATATTAATTCTGATATAATTTTACGGCTCATTAGGTGGCAGAGTAAAAATTCGGATAATGACTAGTAATTAAACGAATATTATTATTTTATACTCTAGTATTGTTAAATTTTAAAAGTTAAGCATAAAATTCTCTAATTTTGACAGTAATTAAACTTAGGTACCTACCATTAGATCAGAAAACAAATTGCATTGTGCTATCAACATCTTTAATACAGGTGGCGTGCAGGTGCTCGTCATTATATTGACCAATTTATTTGAACCTAAAACATGAACTGTTAAGACCCGCATTTTATTTAACATTTAATTGAGGGCAAAATTTATGGTCACCATTAATAACAATTAAAAAGGCTATGGGAAATGAAACCTTCGCTTGACGTACAATCGATCACACAGCTTAATCGCGTTTTAGTGAGTTTTCGTATTACGTAATAGATAATGAGGTATTTTTATAATATATTTATTCGATGAGAATATTGAGTACATCGTGTCTTTTGGAAAATTGCAATTACTTATATCACTTTATCAGATCGAAATAAATAAAGGTTTAAAATTGTTATGTGCAAAATCATATATTTGCCAATATGTATTGCATAAAATAAAGGTATTGAAGTGGGAAAGATGAAAATAAAAATAAACATGTTTAATGAAAATACTTTATTGCTTTATTAAGACATTTTATTATCCAATACCGATGAAAAAGAACAAAAAATTATTCAACACTCCACACGAAACACATAAGATTAAATTATTATAAAATTAAAAATACCACTTAAACTAAAACTCATTAGGCCATGTTCTAAAACTAAAACATTTGAAAAAGTTTTACATTTTTATATCATATGAATGAAGAAATTTTCTAAAGGAGATCGTTTTTATAATTGCTACATAATTTTCTAAAAACAATCTACAATTTAGTCTGCAATTTCTAATTAAAATTGAATGCCTTTCTTAATTTTAACAATATATTATTACTAGTACTTCCATGGGCGACGTTTATCCTCTACGTTAAATACGAAACTGTACTAACAGCAAACGTTAATTAAGAGATATTCTTTCTAGAGGGGAACATCAAACTTTTAAGGGTTTCGTAATTATGATGCTTTTAAATTCTAGTCATTGTTTCTGTAACTTTAATAGTACGTTTTTATTCAATGAGTTAGTTTGAATACATTAAATAATATACTTACTTATGTAGGAATAACTTAACTATAATCTTAATTACGAAATTATTTGCTTAATAATACAGTTTTCTATATAATGAACTGATCTACTGGCAAGGAAAGGTAAAAGTCAAACTCTAGTTTCAAACACTGAATGTTTATGTTAAGGCTAGACGAAAGCGCAATTATTTGTCTTTAGGATTTCGTATAAGTAACACTTCTTGCGTTGTTAGACCAGTGCATCATATTCAATAAACACATGTTTAGTTTTCATTACAAAAAGCCTTAAATTATACTAGTGCTGTCGTAAAAATACAGGCCAAATATTTATTAATACCAAGAATACCCATTTTTTCAATAGTAGTTCATATTTGATTTAACTATACTTTCGGATTCAATTAGACATCAATGTTCCTGTGTGAACACGTTTACTGCAAAGTAATCATAGTCTCAATTAAATATCCAACACCTGAGATTTTCATCCGAAAATATTGTTTTATTTAAAACAAGTTACAACTTCATCATTATCTATATTATACTAACAATTTTAAGTAAACACTAATATTTTTTATAATCTCACTAATAGTAATTGATCACCATCAACAACAATTACCAATTAACGATCTGAGCACTTAGTTTATCAGAAAATTATTTTTTAAATATTCAAATCCAAGTCCATAGAAAAATTCTCCTTCTGCAAAGTATCACAGTAAAAAGAATTATTTTTGCTGTTCTTTGCGTACTATGGCAAGAGCAGTTAGTTCTAAGTGAACTATTTTTTCTTGCCATTCTTTTTAGCCGAGGGTCAAGTATGACCAGCCGTGGCTGCTGCTACACTGGCGCTAGTAATGGGAGGTAGTGGCATCAACATATCAGCGAGACGGCCAGCCTCTCTAAGACCGGAGAGGAAAGCGCCGTGCACTGTAGCTGGATAGTTTCGCATAGTATGCTCACCTGTATACATTTAATTTAAATGAATCCTTATAATATTTATAAATCTGCTTAGATACACAAAAACACGTTTGACGTAATATTGATAGTATTGTAATGTTTTATATTTGTTGATGTTTTTTTTTTTCAATGCAAAATCGGATCTAGCAAATTTAAGTGCAGTTACTAAGTATTACTAAGCCAAAAATCTAGTATATAATAAATAAAAACTAGTAACTAATCTATCATTATATTACTTTACATCGTATAATATAATAAATTCGTAACCGAATTAAACCGAAAAATAAAAGACAATATACAAACCGGCGAAAAATAATCTGTTTTCTCCTGAGGAATCGGGTACGGGCGCTGCCAGTAGATCATAGTCAGTCCCGGAGGAGCCAACAGCCACGAAACTATAGGAACCTCGAGCATAGGGATCGGCACGCCATCTATGATAGCATTTATGATAATATCATTACAATATCTATATTATTTGTTATGAAAATAGACCTGCAAATTCATATAATCATCATTTGCAAACGTTGCAAAAACTATAACATTGAAATACATAATGAAATGTAAAAATATTACGTGTTATTGATTTTGTTAGCAAACCGGAGCAAAACAAGGCATCCAGACGTTTGACATAAGACTATTCCATAATGCAAAGGTTGCAATACCGCAAACATTTTAATAACCCAAATAACGTCTACAGTGTCATATTCAACGAGCACAAAACAATACAAATAGCCGGCATTGTATGCATAAATGGATGTTTCGTGAACAAATTTTGTGATCGCTACCTATTGTTTTTATAATGGCACGAGTGTTGACAGAACTGGACTGTCAATTTGTGAATACAAATATCCGATTTTAGAATGTCATATATCAGAGACTTGAGTGAATAGCGATTAACACCAGAATTGTTACAAGGCAAATTCACAAAGTTATAGTATAAAAAGAGCGGACAACACGTCAGAATGCAAACTGCATACAAAAAGCGTTGTATCGTAAAAACTACGTTGAAAAGTTAACACGTTTACGTCATAGACTGATAGTATTTTTTAAGCTCTTTGTGTTGGAATTCAATTTTATTACGTATACTTTTTCGACATGCTTTATATACTACGTTTATTTTAAAGCAAATTTTTAAACCAACATTTTAATGTTTATGTAATTCGTCTACCAAATACATACATACTTCAACGAATTTTTTTTATAGAAAAAGATTTTCTACACCAATAATTTCTTTAAGTGATTCTCACCTGGTGACAACACATTCTTTTGGCTGTGGAACAGCCGCGTGTCCGAAGATACTCTTCAACACGGCGATACATCTTCCAACTATGACGTCATCAGTCACATTTTCCATAACAGCAGCAGCTTCTCCAGCTACCAGTGCGAGCAAAACCGGAGCACTGTATAGGTTCCAGAATAGGAACAATTCACCTAAACGTATAATATTATATAAACATAATGTTTGTAATTTTTTTCTAATTAAAATTAGTGTTATATTTTTTTGCAAATATATTTACCGAACAAAAATTTGCACCCTCAGCTGTTGCATGTTAGATCTAATTGATCCTTATATGTTCGATAAGTTTATGCATATACAGACATATCCATATTTTCATATTTAGACAAATAAGAATATTACTATGAAGTTGCAATGCCATACCATACCGTCATATCTACTAAGATATAAACTTCAAAGTCTCTAATAAAATACCCTTTAAGATTTATTTAAAAATATATAAACTTTAAAATTATAGTGAGATTGTAACAATACAGTATGTTGTATAAATGGTTATAAATTTAAAGATGCGCATCTAACCCCAATAAGGTCATAATGAGCTTCACGATGCTCTACTTAAAGTATATCGAGATCCTTAGACGATATTAAGTAAGAATGATATGCGAATTTGTTCTCACATAAATTAAAAGCGACGGCATCTGATAATGGAAGCCTCGAAAAAAGCGATACTTTTCGGGGGGAAAAAAACTTACATTGTTCCGTATTCCCAGCAATGGAGTAGACTTAATGAAGTTGGCAGCGAACGCAACAAAGAACTAAGGAGGTGTACTAAAGCATAACATAAAAATAGCTCGTCTTGACTCGGTGTCGTGATTTATTGCCGCGGCTCCCCCTAGGGTTACTCAGAGGCGTTCAATTATTCAACTTTTAATTCGTTATAGCGTTGGCCACCGCTGTTTCTACATTTTATACTATTTACACAAGTAACACGTCCAAATTATTAACGAGCATTATCCTTGGGGGCCGTTGATATGGATACGAGTTGGTTTATTAATGCAATATACATATTATAAAATGGATGTTTGCGTCTTCAAAGCGAAGACAATTTATATCTTAATTTTAACATTAATAATTTTATTATTCGATCAGCAAAATAAGTCAATAATAGTACAATTTTGTAAAAAACTTTTAAATATTGTATCAGACGTTTCATTCACCAAAACAATAAACGTTTCTAGAGACAAGTTTTTTTTAGTAAAAGCAAACCTATTATTTGAAGTATATTTTTTTATTTTATTAAAGGCAGAAATATAATGTTGTTCATCGTATCATTACGTCACATAAATAACATATTAAAATTTATTTCAAAACAGACGTCATACTCACCTCTGCTAGCGGTTGTTGTACCGACGTGTCCAAAGAGGTTTGCACTTGGATCCCAGAAAGTACGCTCAAAGCAAAGCACTACTTTATTTAAGTTACCATAACCTAAACGTTTTATGGCCGCCACCTTAAAGAAATAGAAATATGTATTTACATTCGTAAAGATAACTAAATGTTGTTAAATATTAATTAAGCGTCTGTTTTTTATCATAGAAATTGTATAAAAAATCTGTTTAGAATTTTAAAAGAATAATTGATTTCGATTCACGGCACGGCTTCAAATAAAAAATAAAATAGAAAAATAATTAAAAACGAACCAGCGAGATTTTTTTTTTTTTGTATTGAAAACTATCCGATAAAATTTGATAAACGAGAAAATATAAATAGAAAAAAACCTTTATCCACCATTAAGTTTGGAGTAAAATAAAACATGACGCACAAATTTAACATTAGTTATACGCTTACTTTCCAATCAGGCAATGGGGGATCAAACTTTACAAAGTTTTGCTGATTCTGTCCGTTGTTTGCCACGGCCACTTTGAGTACTCCCAAAGGTAGTGTGCAAAGAACTACGTCACCTGAAACAAAAACTCAATACTTCAGATGTTTAACATGTCCCTACAATATTTTAATATTTTGAAAATAAACTGTAAATTTAAACACTATTGAATATACAATATCATCTTAGATCGCCACTCGTATAGTTATTTTGTATTTTAAATCTGTAGTGATTTTTTTACTTTGCTATTTATAGCTTTTCAATTACAGTTACGAACATCCAATCCGTTACAGTAAAGTCTCTTTTTTAGTAGCAGTAACATCATTGATTATTGCAATGGTCGCAGGAGTGTAAATTTTTTGTAGGGGATGTTGGTCTATCGGTACCAACGTATCTCCATGATTGGCCGTCAAATGAAAAGGCCGCAGGCTACAAGCAATCACCGTGAAAGCCTGACCTTAACTAACAAAGCCGCAACAACCTCCACACATTCTGAATAAAGTGCTCTTTAGATTAATTGCGGCGGCCAGTTTACCTTTGCTGAATTTTGCATACAGTCGAAATGGAAATAATAATTAATGTTAAAATGTTCAACACATTAAATATTATATTATATTAGTATACAAAAAGATAAAAGCATTTAACAGATAATATTCAGAGGCCGGAAATGTTTTCGTTAAAAACGAACGAAAACCAACGATTTATATTTCACGTCACTGAGAACGGTGCACTATTATGAAAAGCGTTTTAAAGTTTGGTCGCATGGCTTTAGTGTTGCCGCCTATTTATCGTATAACTGCCTGTTTCAGAGAGGGCTCCGCCTATGCAAATGGCTGTAGCTGGAGGCAAGGATCGCGGGCAGGGGGAAGGATCACCAGGTCAACAGGGGCCCCTATTTTTGCGCCTCGTCAAAGTAAAATTAACGCGTTAGAATTGCAAATCACTCCACGACAAAGAAATGACAAGGAGAAGCCGTCGGCGTTGTGGATTTTTCTCATAACCTCCATTACGTTGACACGCCTGCCGTTTTGTTTTTCATTTTTAAAGCTGCCATCATTATTTTATTTTGAAAATAAACGAGATAATTTCTCGCCGTATAGTTCAAATTTTTATTTTCAGATATAGGAATCTGACGTGGCATACTTAATCATTTATAAATTCAAAGGTGATCTTAATAAAAAATTTGAATAAAAACAAGAAAATATCACACGTTAGTTGACTCAGCGAGCGGTTTACAGATTACCTTCATACATAACTGTCATCAATGCATAATTTACTCGTAAGGAATATAAGGTAATCATTTCCATAGCTATTTCATCTATATCCACCACAGATATCTATCTATATATGTCGGATATGATTTAATGTGTTTTTATGTTATTTGCTAATATCGTTAGTAGGTACATTTCTCATGACACTCTCTACTAACAACATTTTTATAAATATCGTTTATATTATTGATGTTCAAATAGCTCAAATATTTCATTTGACCGTTTCTTTTTCCGGTTAATCTTTAGGATTCCGTTAACGTATAAATTGTTACATCATATCAATCAAACAATTGTTAAGGGGCAGCTCTAACGTCCGTGGTGTTTGTACAATGTGTTTATAGGAAACATGTGGAGCTAAAATAATAAAATCGCTCACCCTTAAATGTCTGCGGCTGGTTGGGAGCTCGAGGGTTGACAGCCTTCACAGTGACACCCGGCCCACCGTAAGTGATTTCAGTGACCGCTGTACCCAATCTAATGTCGAGCCCCTCAGACAATGCCACCGGCACGCACGAATACCCGTTGCGAACTGTAATAGTTTGACAATAATTACACACATATTTGATGTTAACACTTCTTAACTTTAATTAATAACTATCACATGCATAGCTTTTTGTACGTGTGCGTGTCTTTTATGTTAATTATTGCATCACTCACTGATAGCAATTCACAATATATCTGCAAATTATAGCCAATTGAGGAAACTATCCTGTAATATGTACATATTTGAGTAGTGTTTTGTAAAAATGTATTATTCAGCACGTTTTGCATAAAAGACAACATATATAAGGAACTGTTTAAATATTTAAAATAATATAAATAGTAATTATAACATGTTTTACTTTTGCTTAAAATAATACAACATCAATTCTGACCAAAACAAAGAAAAACTATTTCGATAGTTTTAAATTCTAGTCATCTAGCGTGTCCCAATTTCGGATATGGATTTAAAATCAATTATGTACGTGTCGCATAATGTGTGGAATCAGTTTTATCGATATCGGTGAGTCCATCACGAAGCATCGTATTAATTGATGATACTCGATACGTACGTGAGCCGGTCACCGCAGCACTCCATTCATTATTTAAAATACTTTATTTTTTAATATGCTAAAAGATCTATGAATCACTATCAATTATACGAAATATTATAATGAAAAACTAAAACCGACAAACATATATTATTTGCTATTACTAGCAAAGAAACAATCACATTTTGTAATTTAATCGAGTGTAGCTTTTTTTAAATCGATGTTAAGCAATCGAGGCACATAGTTAATTAAATTAGAATGCAAACCACGTTGGTAGAATGGCAGTTTTAGTTTAGGCAGCATTAGCCTTATTACAAAAAAGAAGCTTTTACAAATTATTCTTAATTTTAGATATATAAAAACATAGACGCAAATTTGTCCTTTATGAACAAAATAAACAATATTATACGTCGGAAATATAAAATATACTCCTTATTATAGTATGTTTTTGTTAAATTAATTATTATTATTATTATTAAAATGATTCAAATTCGTAAGTGTCATGTTAAAATTCAGGAAAACTATTTCTAGGTTTATTATATTAAACAACATTTATTGACATTGTTTAATCAATTTGATCAACAGTAATTTCTGAAGCCAATTTGATGCTAATCAAAAATTTATTAAAAATAAAATATATGGGGTTTGTTATTTGTAATCAAAAGAAATTGTTTGTTCCATCCATTAAACTGAATGGTATTGTGTTATAAGAATTCAATTGCTATTTTCATTTGATACGTCTTTACAACCTAATAATATTAATAGCTGTTCAATTTTACAACTGCTATCAATAAGTGAGTGTTATTTTTATAAGTTGTTCCATAGGTGTAAAATAGACCCATAAACTATAGGCACATGAATTCAAAGGCAGGCGAATTTAAGTGTATCATTAATTCCGATGGTTTAATCGCACCTTAGTTTTCGTTCTTAATTAAATTAATGATTCTCAAACTTGAACATAAAGTTGATGGAGAAACAGCTGCTCCCTTACATATTAAGTGACCTGTGTTCAGAAGAGGCTACATACACGATGTACTTTAAATGCAAGCTTGCTGTATTGTGCACTTTAACAATATTACCTCGGCTAGTTCTCTCAAATGACTATTCCAGCAAACTGACCGAAACTAGAGTACGATTAAGGTTATACCGGAAAATTAGACCACTGCAGAGGAGACAGTCACGTTGTCAGATGGAATTATTTAATTAAAATTCCTGAACATGTATTGAAGTAATAATACTATTTTTCCATAAACACACGTTTTCCGTCTTAGTTGTTAGGACGTCTTAACATAGAAGTTATTATTATTCTTTAGGTTGAGTTTAAAATTTTTTGAAATTATGAATAAGTATACATGTAACATATTTGAACAAATATATAGTTGTATATACTATCGTCCAATAATACTGTTCGAGTATAATCAAACCCATGTCATTATTCCAGACCATGCTTCATCAGAACGCGTACGAAATCCTAATGAATGGAAACCCTAAGTACGATAAAGACCACGAATAGGCAGACAAAAACTGGTTGGCAGTAAAGCTTTAACAGGATTAGTGCTCAATCCTGACAGTTGTAGACAGTAAATACTAGACTAATTTTGGATAAATTACAGTTAATTGTTGAATTCTATGAATTAATAGTCTGGCCTTTAATTTTTTTAATATTGACACTAATAAATGGAATAGAACATAAGTATATAAAAAGTAGTTTATTTCGACTCACAAACTTGCTTTAAGTGAAACGCTTGAGATATTTTGTTTACAATTGATAGCATATCAAAATACACAAGCTATTAACTTTGTTATATCAGATAGATATCATTCAACCTGAAACTGATACAGAAATATTAATCTTAAAAGATTTTCTATTGAATATATAAATAATAGATTGATTTATGAAAATTAATAATGCAATAACCTTTATGTAACGATTTGCCGGAAGAGCTAAGATTTTTTCAGTTTATACATTGAATATACTTGAAAAATAAATTAAAAAATAAAATTTTAATTAGTTACTTGGAGATTTACGGTAATTCCATTCATAAGGAATGAAAGGGCACTGAAAATAAATCTGTATATATTTTTGAAGGTAACTTTTGTGTAGGGAAACAAATCCAATGTTAAGCAACCCAAAAAGGAGTAATCAAAAATGCAATTCGTTGCAATCCTTCTTTCAATTGCTGTACCCTGGAGTGGGTAGTCCTTTTGAACAGTCAATCTACCGGAACGAGTGGGGCTAGAGTTTGTTGCGAAATATTCTGAAAATTGTAACAAGCCCGCTGCATTTATATAAAAAATCGCTTAACACTAGATACGTCGCTCAAGAAATTCGTTTGCCATTTTGAACATTATTTATTTAAGACAAAAATAAGCTCAGTTATACTTAGATACATTGCCAACAATATATGACCACATGAATAAATTTAAGAGACATTACTTCATGGCAATATACGCAGACAGAAAACTCTCATTATTTTAAATATATTCTGAACGGAGCAAGCATAGTTTAAATTATATGTACAAAAGTAAGTTACGTTGTTCTTCTAGTAGTTAAGTTTCCATACAAACGAAGGTGAACAACATCCTTTGCGCGCTAGCATAGTTCATGTACTCGGAACTCTTCATTGTTGGTAGTTTTAGAACCGCTTTAGCAATTTCGGCTTTGTGGTGATGTATGGAATTTTTGCTTTATGATCTAACCTGAACGATATTGCAAACGCGGGTTTCATATTTACTAACATTTCTCTATAACATTGCTAACTTTGAAAGGGTTAGACTTCAGTTTTATTTTCCATTTTACTACTAGAAATTTCACAATAAACAAACAGGGATCTTCATTGACTTTATTTAATATAGTTTCAGTGAACCAACAGAAAATATACAGCTCATACTTCGTTAAAACATACAGCGTATATTTTTTTAAGGTTAGCTTCAATTTTAATCCAAGATAGGCCGTTACCTGTGTAGATAAGTGTTGTTTATGCTACGTGGCACACCCGAATTTACGATCGCCGAATTTAATTCAGAAATCGCCCATTAGCACGACAAGCCGAAAAAAATACGCACAATTCGTTGCTTAAAGAACATTAAATTAAGCTTAATTTGAATAATTTCGAGTGGCGATGCGTTTAAATAGCTGTAATTAAAGGTGTATTTGCGTAAGGTATTATTAAATTTAGCGCAATAAGACTAATTGGAGGACTGAAATATATATACCATAAATGACTCCCTTATAATTAACAATAACTGATGGTAATTAGTTTTTTGTTTCTTTTATGTTCGTAATGTTTATAATAAAAACATTATTCTTATTATGGAACGCATTAATTAACAGTCAAGCCTGTAGAAAGCATTGCAAAATAAATGTATACATACATCCACATGCTGTTCTACTTTTTGTTATCGTTTTTTCTTTCTAATAATTTATATTGAACAATGAATATAAATGTTATTATGGAAACAAAAAAATGTTAACTATACACAAACATAAACAAAATTTAAATTACGTTGTAAAGTTTTGTCGAAGTAGTTAAAGGGTTGCATTCATACTAATATATTCCTTTTGAGTCTTGTATTTTATATTTAACATTGACAACCAACAAGTCGATACTACGTATGATAAATTTAATTAAATCCAACATCACCACCTAATATATCACAAAATATATTAACGAGCAGAACAATTGAATTTCAGACAACGTTCATTCGTACGCTAATTATTGGAACAGGTGATAATTTACTTTTTAATATTAAAATTGCAATCATGCCTTTCGTTGGTAAGTTCCATAAGTTGAATTTTACTCTCTGTTAATACTCATATTTTACATAACCATTTTTGTCGTAATTTTTTAGAAACCTTTTTTAATAAGCTATTTTATTTTCAACTTCTATGAGCTTGATTTCCTGGAAGAGTAATCCTAGACTGTATGCTTTTTGTACAGAAAGTGGAACTAACTCTATTTCTCTAATATTTTCATGAACTTATAAAAGAGTTTCAAAGTCTACACTGAACCTTTAAAACTAGCTACTACTTACATTACTAGTACAAAGTTGTAATATACTGTTAAGAAAAGAAAATGACAATATCTTGTACCCCACATTATAAATCAACTACAAACGTCGCTAATTCAAGTAGCTTAAAATAAAAAATATTTTTTTTTCTAAAATAAATCTATTAAGTACTTACTTAAAAATAAAATTATAAACTTAAATTTTTAAAAAGGAAAAAAAATAGGTATTTTAATGCTATACTTACAATTGAAATAACTGTTAAATCTTTTGTTTTTTTTTCTTTCCATATTATATTTATTTTTAAAAATACTCACCTTTAATTTTTTTGTTTTTTAATTTTTTGTTTATATATTGAAATTTCATTACGGTTGTTATTAAGGCTAATTTTATTGTTTGATAATGTATTTTTTTGTCTGAATTTAGTCATTAAAAAATTTCCGCTGGGTCTTTATGACTATTTATAAAATTGGATCCATGGATGCTACTCTACTGGAAAAAAAATATAGTTTTATATATAGATAAATAATATCTTCATCGAAACTACATTTATAGTACCAGTTTATATCTAAGATAGTCGAACCATACTATTTTTATATAGTTTGAAGGTTGTCTATTAATATTAATATTGAAACTGACAAGACCAAAATATCTTATTCAAATCTAAGAACTATTTTAATATTTAAGTCATAACTATAATATATATAAACATATGATGTAATATAATATTTATTACATATATTAACATTTATATGACAGCAATCATACGATATTACATTACAAACCACACCATCTCTAAATATATTCCTTTATAAACTTACGACTTGATATAATCGTAAAAATATATAGTTATGAATATGTTTTTATATTAAGAACTTAATAAAAAACAACCGTGATATATTCAAATTTAAGTGAAAATATTTGCTTTAATCTGATATATTCATTAGTCGTTGTATTATTACAAATCACATTTTTGAAATAAAT